TCTCTCCTCTCTCTCTCTCTCTCTCTCTCTCTCTCTCCTCTCTCTCTCTCTCTCTCTCTCTCTCTCTCACACACACACACACACACAATTTTGACACTAGCTTTTGAAATTACTTAGTTTAATCCATTATAATTGAAGCAGATTTAGATCTATTGGAACTGGGGATTCTGTTTTTACTTGCTGTTTTTCTTAATGAGGAAAAATTTGTGTATAATTTTGTATTTGTATTTTAATCTCCTGACTTCTTGTTTGAAGTTCCTTCTTCAGTGTGTTCACCTTGGTATTAATGCAATATAATATAGATAATAAGGATGATTTCTATGACGTGTTATGAATTTGGGGAGTAAATGTGACATTTATGTATCTTGAGCATTTTGATTCTTGTCACTTGCCTTGTAAAGGATCTGAGATTGAAACAGTAATTCTGCTAAAATGTTCTCAATGCATGCAGAGACTTTCATTTAGTTATGGGTATGATTACTGTCCTCAAACAATTATCACCTCTCAAGGCTCCAGGAATTTCATTACAGATTAACCTACTTCTCCTGAATTATATCTGTTGTTCCATTTGACCGGGCATTTACATTGATTGACATTTTTATTGCTGATACAATTCTCCTAATGGCACTTCTTATCCTATCCTTACAGGTAATGATGATAAAATTGGAATAGTTTATTTATTAATTGGAGCTGATAAAAACTTTAGAGAACTTACTGGGAGGGACTGAGGAATACTTTTGAGAAAAAAAAAAATATTTGGCTCCTGTCTTTTCTCCCAGAAATTAATTTCCTGGCTATTTTTCTAAGAAGGCTTTGTATAACTATTATTATTATTATTATTATTATTAATTTATTTTTGGTAAAAGAGATTGAACCCAGGGGTATTTAACCACTGAACCATATCCCCAGGCTATACATATATATGGGAGGGGGGCTCATTAGATTGTTTGGAGTCTTGCTAAAATTGCTTAGGTCCTTCCTAAGTGGTTGAGGCTGGCTTTGAACTGGCAATTCTCCTGCCTCAGCCTCCTGAGTCTCTGGGATTAGAGGAGTGTGCCTAGTTTCTGGCATCAGAGGGGATCCCATCATCTGTTTCATGGATACTATCTGCTTTGTCACAAATGGTGGGATTCCATATGTTCTTGGAGGTACCTTTGAGATTAAACACTAAGAAAGGAATTGTCATCTTCTCTAATGCTACTTCATAGAAAGCCTAATTTATAGGTCACCACTGATTTCCTTCCATAAAAATCATTTGGCTTCTGAGTAGCAGGTATTTTAAAGTTATATACCCATTTCCGCATATAAATAATGGCATTTTCATCCAGTACTGAAATTTGAAACAGAACCCACCTGCAGCTTCTCAGGAGTGAACGCGTTACACAGGGTGTAGTTGGTCCAGGTTCGATTGTTGTGGGGATGTTTGAACCAAACCCCGTTCTCATCACAGTATTTTGTGACCCTTTCTGTTAATGAAACATAATAATCAAAACATTAATACCTCAAAATCCTAAGGGAAAAAGAATAGTAAGTTAAAGCTTACAAGCTATTTCAAAGTGCTAATCATCTGTAGAACTTGAACGTGATCATCAGTCAGTAGAGTTCATATGGATCACGGGTTATATAAAGTATTTTAATATGTGTTGTCTCATTTTATCTTCAACGGAGCATTGGGAAGCAGAGGTTGCCATTTCCAATGTATTAACTGGAGGCAGATGGGGAGGGGTTACAGAATTTGAAAAGGTCATTAATCCAGGATTGATCCAAGATTTAAATCCAAGTCTGCTGGCCTCCAAAGTGCTACCCATACTCTAATTCATATTTTTAGCAGACAAATTTCTGCTTATAAATGGGAAATATATGAGAACAGGGAAACCATATCTTTCTTCATTTGTTTGTAATATTTTTATAAGACTGACTATATGAAACTGTGGGTCAAATGGTCAAATATTTGCAATTTCATATGGTTAAATCCAACAGAAATCCCAAACTAAGGGGGGGGGGTACATCAAGAGGTCATTTTTCCACCTCTGAAAAAGATATTTTTTTTATTTCTCTCTTCACTTTAAAATGCATATTGGAATTCATAGCTTTCACCTTTACTATTTGCTTCTTTAAACCTCTTTAGGTGTTAGTTAGTGAATTTGTAATTAGCACATTACAAATTTCCACCATTGTTATAAAAATTTATTCATGATTTTGCTAAAGCTAATTGTTGATGGTGATCATTCCAAGCATACTTGGAATTTTAAAAAAGTGATTTTAATGGCAATATTTTACCTTTACTATATTGTTAGAAATTAGCTCTGTAGCAATGTTTGTTATGTAGCAAGCAGAGGGGAAACTACTGTGTTCAAAAGGAGGGGTACTCTCCTGAAGAAGTCCATTCCACTCATGGATAGACCTCAAGACCAATTCTAAAGGAATGAGGGTTGAGCAGCCCTGTCCTAAACCACATGTTGACCTTGTTGGCACTGTTGATTGCTTGACTCCAAGTGCAGGGCCTTAAGTGCCTCTGTTGAATTTTGCTTTATTAGCATCTTCCTATACACTGTCATCTTTTTCTGAATTTCAATACTATTCTTTCCTCTTTCACTATTTGTCTTTCACAAGGCACTTTTTCCAAAATGAAATGACTGACATTTTATTAATTTTTTTTGTACATCATTAAGATGTAGCTTTTAGAGCAATAATAAAATCCTAAATAATTTGTTTGTTGAATATAGACATTTTAACTAGGTAGTTTGTGAAAATGGATTTATCTCCCAACTGAGAGGGTTCCATCTAAAAACAAGGCTGAAAAGATGGATCTGTGCCTGGAAATCTCTATTTTGCTGATCAAAACCTTGCCTTTTAGTCAATATTTATAGTCACTTTGGCAGGAGCCTGCTGCCACTTTGGAACTGGTCTAGTAGCCTCAATTGCAGAATGGTGCTTTATGCCAATCAAATTACCTCTAATGTAGTTGTCAAATCAAGATTAATGAAGCATCATTTATTGGGAAGACTCAATAAAGAACCAAAGGATTATCATTAAGTAGCATTTACTTAGAGTTTGTAGGAATGTAGCTTTGAGTTAGGGCACTGGACAGAGCCCCTTCTTTTTTCACATCTCAACTCTTCCATCAAAATAGGAATTCCCAGAAGTGGCTGGCCGACACTGGTTTTAAAAGAAGCTCCCTGTAATTCTACTTCAATTACCCCTGCCTTGCTTAGGTGGAACTTTGTGGTTTCAGAAATAATTCAGCTATTCCCTTGAAGGAAGATGCAAATAATGTCTTCCAAACCTTGTCCAGGGATGGACTCATTTCTCTGCTCTAATTGGGATTCTAGAGCCACTTAAATGTCCTCTGAACCAGTACAGTGAACATTTTGCTTTCAGGAAAAGAGTCTCACCCTTTGAAAGGGACTTAACAGATTGCATCTGTAGCTGATCCCATCTAGTTTCAGCATCTGAGCCTCTTTTATAACTAACATTCTCATCCCCCTTCTAGGATCTTTGTTCCAGATTTATTTTAGCAGGACATATTTCTTTTTAGTTTCTTGGGACAGGATTTTTCTGGCTTGTCAGCAACAGTGCCTGGAGCTAGGTGGCTGCCTTCTCCCACCCTCTGATACCTCCCTGTTTTCTAGAAATATATCAGCCTCTTCTGAGGTCACACTCTGCCTCCCATGGGCACAGCTACCTGGGCACTTGGATGAGCCTCCCTGGCTCTGACTACCTTCTTACCTGGACTTTAATTTTCCCCCTGGTTTCCCATCCTGGCTCTACATTGAATTTCAGCAGAACTTTTCAAAACTCCTGATTTCCAGGCTGTACTTCTACTCCCAATATCTATTCCCATTAAATCAGAATCTCTGGGTGATACTTGGCATGGAGATCTTTTTCTATTTTATTTATTTTTTTAATTTCCCAGCTTCTCAGTTATGCAGAGAATCATTTACTTCCTACTACCCAGTCCCAGTTTCTACTTCCATCCATCTGCTTAGTCTCTGGAGTGATGCTGTCAATACTCTTCTACATTCTTCTGCATTGCTCCTGAGCACTAATTCTGGTACACACCTCCAACCTGCTTATGAATACCTGACAATTCAGAAACATGTGACTTCAGCCCTTCAATTTCTCAATATACTTGGAAACTTCTCCCTTGGAATCTTCTCCTCCTAGGCCTTCTCCCTGATTGAGCATCCCAGCTTGATTCCTAACCATGCAGGGTGACAAGATTGAAGCCTCAAAAGTTCTGGAAGTATTTCAATCTGCATGAGTTGATATGAAGACTGAGAAATAACAGTTCTCAACTGATTTTCTAAACTGTTGTGCCTAATCATATAGAGAGAGTTAGGTAAAGGAGATATTTTGAAAATAATGTTGATATTTTTATACACATTGAATATTTTGGTATTTAACAAAGAGCATTCATATGTAGCTTTTACAACTAAAGTGAATTCAGTGGCACTCATTTACTTAACATATCTGTCAGTTGTCATTGTTGGTCCCAAGTTCAGAGTTGGGTTTCCATTTAATCAATTATTGCACTATCAGTCTTACTTATTGAGCATATTTCAATAATCTGAGGTTGGAACAGAAATTTGATGTCTAGAGCTATTAGACATTTAGTTAAACATTTTCAAGGTTATTTAGAATTTCCATTGTGTACATCATACCATCCCAGTGTATGCAAACTCTACATCCAGATTTTGCATAAATTACTGAATGTGACAATTGAAAAAAAAAATTTAAAACCTACATTTAGATAAAACTTTTATAAAGTTTTTGAGAAAATTTTATAAACCAGAATGTAATACCAATATGCCTTAATAGCCAGCAATATGACTTAAAAAATAAACACAACTTGTAGTATTTGTACAGCCTGAATAATATTTTAATTAAGGAAACGCTTCAAAATGTAATAAAACTTGGAGTATGACTAGATAGATATATTTTATATGTGATTAAAATTTTTGATCTATGTAAACTCCAAAAGCTTCATAACAAAAATATATATTTTACCTGTGGGGTCAAAATCCGGAAAGTAATTGGGGCAGTACTGGGAGGTCAACATTCCAGCCGGAGTGTCATCCCAGCACATCCAGCCATCCCAGGTGCGGTTGCAGTACGGACCTGGGCATTTAGAAAGAAATTAATATTTATAAATTTATTAAATAAAATTAAAATGAAAAGAGAAGAGTGGTCTCAGGGCAATCCTACACTGCTCTGGTCATGATGACCCACATTTCAAATGAATCAGTCACTGTCATGAAAATAAAGTTTCAAATAGCTTAGAATATCTGTGTCTAAATTATTTCCCTGGCTGAAAGGCAGGGTTCTAGTGCTACTTTGTAAGAGTTTCCACAACTGAACTTATCAAAAAGTAAGTGAACGCAAAGACTGCATTTAACTCTGCTCTCCATTTATTTAATGGTGAGATAAATCTAAGACATAGGTTGGTTGTTAAATCAAATGGTTTTGAGATGTATTAATAAGTTATTCACCACCTAAAATGTTATTCTCTAAAATATCCAACCAGGAAAGTGGATTTAGGTTTGCAGGCCTTGCAATTCTTGTGCAGTAGGCTGTTTTTCTACCACTATCAACATAAGGATTTGAAGAACAACTCAGTAAGACACTATTACTTGAAAAAAATTCATGACACCAATTCATTTTTAAAAATTTGAAATGAATTTCGATGAATAAATTTTGTAAAGCTTATCAGCATATTGCATCTAATAAATCTTCTCTTTAAATAGTACATTTATTTATTTATAAACATTGAATTCTAGGAATTGACAAGAGATACTGAATTTTATGCATGGTAGTCTGGTTCTCACAACTCAATGTCTTATTTGGGGGGCTGGACTTAAATTAGAAGAGTAACATACAATTGAAAGTTATTAAAAACTATGAAATCCTTAGTAGGATTTTTCTATGCATAGATAATTAAGCATATCTTATTCTGGAATCCACTGGATATGGAAATGTTAAAAACAGTGACAGCAGCAGCAACAACTAAATAAAGATATTCACTTTACATATTATTAATGGAATTTACATTTTTGTAGGGTTTACTCTGTTTGTTCCTTAAAAGAAATACGTGTATTATGCATTTAACCTTTCCTTCAAAAGCTGTACTTTTAAAAACTTTTAGAAATACTAGGAGGAACTCTTGTGAAAGTGTTTGCAAGTTCATACCTAGATAAAGCTTTGCTTGTAAACATCAATATGGCTTTAGAACATAAAGATCTTACTAACTGTTAACCTTCAAAGGGTTACCTTGGGTAGTGATATTCTTAATCCAAGGGTGTTGGAATTGTTCAAAATTCCTATTGGATTTGCACTTACAGCCAGTTAGTGAATCACATTTTAAAAGTCTTATTACCTTAGAATTACACTTTGTTACTAACTGAAATAATGCTCAGTTTGACCACTTTATGTATTCATCTACATTGGCTCCAAGTGGTTTCTTACAGGAAAATGTGCCTCTATAAAGGTATTCAAAAGAATGAGTCTCAGGCTTTGAAGGCAGTTCTCAAAACAATTTAAAAAAAAAATACAATGATCATAGAATAAAAATTCAACCTCCCAAGGTGACTAAGACTAAAGTGAAACAGATTGCACTCAGTTGGTCTCTGAAAATAACAGGGTTTGTGTGTGTGTGTGTGTGTGTGTGTGTGTATGTGTGTGTGTGTGTTTGTCTCATTTCTTTCAAAGAAATGATTTTGCCTTTGGATAGAATTGCATCTAATGCCCTTTCAATTCTTGATAAACACTGAAACTACCACAGACAAAAGAATAACATATACTTGTCTTTAATTGACTTGGATTTTATTTTTCTGTTTAAAGGAAATGCTAAAAATAGGAACCATGAACTTTAACCATTTGGAAGGAAACCATGTGTAGCAGTAGAGTATATTTAACCATTTCCCTCCTTGACAAGTAGGGTTGTCTTAAAATGCATAAGGTTGTACAAGGTCTTGTTGGAATTTTTGAAATGTTTCAGGAGGCATGGGAAAGAATTTAAATGGGTGTTCGAATGCTTGAACAACCTCTCTTTTATTTTCTTCTGGGCCTTCAACAGCAAATTGAATATGCTGAGCCCTGAAAATGTTTCAGCAGTCACATAGAACATTCTAGAGAAGGTGATAGAGAAACCATGTTTGCTGAGAAGATCTGGTTTTTCTAATTCTCCTGGGAACTTGGGGTAGAAAGGGAGAAGAAAGAGCATGGATTGCCAACCAATTGACAGGGAAAAAACCCTATGCCTAGTTAAGCCAAATAAGAGTGTTCTTTTTAAAAAATATTGTTTTAGTTGTAGTTGGACACAATATTTTATTTATTTTTATGTGGTGCTGAGGATCAAACCCAGGGCCTCGCACTTGCATGTCAGGCAAGTGCTCCACCACTGAGCTACAACCCCAGCCCAAGAAGAGTGTTTGACAGGCTCCACCTCAGGCAAATTCTCTGCCCACCACCTTCCACTTCCTGTTCTTGTCATTTTCCTCCTCCCCTCCCTCACTTAATCCTGTATTGTCCTGCTTGCCAGGAGTGAGTCCAGAGTTACTGTAGTGATTTCATCCTGCAGGCAGATGCTAACCAAAAAGAAGCCAGATGAAGTTGAGAAGTGATAGGCATATCTCACGTGAAACATATAAAGATACCACAGTGTGGAAAATTCTGGTGTATTAAATTTAAATTATCTACCACATCTCCACCCATGGAAAGAAACAAGTCTTTAATGATATTTCAAACATATGTTCACATATATCTTCTCTTTACCTTCTCCTTCGTATGGTGGCATATTCTGCATGCGGTCATAGCATTTGTACTGGGCATCCATCATCCTCTGGCGGCCAATGATATACAGGTATGGCTCAGTCATAGTTGTCGGATCAGTGAGATTGGAATAGGCAGGAAGAATTGGAGTTGGGTGCTGTATTAAAAGGAAAATCGGTTAATTGTAGAGAGAAGAGATGCATGGACACACAAATGAGATAACCAAAGAGTCTGAAAACACCTTACTACTCCTTCCAAAAGCAACACTTATTCCTGATCTCCTCCAGGTAGAATATTTTTGCTTTATAACTAAAAAGTGTATTTACATTTCCTACACAAATTCTAGCTACAAATTCTATATTTGTACCAGTATCTATTCATCGTTGAAAATGGAGAGCATCCACACACACGCACACATCTCTCTAGCATCTAGGATTGTTTTAATTCTCTGATCATGGTAAAGTTTAGAAGTAAACAAAGTACATAACATGATTTCAGAAAATTGCCCAAAATAAACCAACTTTGCCTTCGTTGGAATTCTTAAGAATCATGGATCATGTTATTTAAAACTAGACAGTAAAATAAGATGCTTCATTTATGGGACATTTTTTTCAGATGAATTTTTGGTTGTGCTTAGGTTGTGAATGCTGCCAGAAATCTGCCATGTATTCCATAGAACAAAGTTATCCCTTTGATAACTGACTTTAATCTCTTTAAATTGGTTTCATTAGCACATGACCTACATAGGACTATTCAATTTTTTTCTGATGAAAATCAGTTTAATTTTTAAATATTTATATTGGCATACTTGTATTTTCAATATAGGTTGACATGAGTTTTTGTTCAGTTCTGATTAATCTCCATCACCATCACAGCTCTCTGGTTATCAAAATTGATGTGTTTGTATGAAAAGATCATGGTGTGTCATATCACCCCAACTTGTGTTTATATGAAGTTCAATTTCTTTTGTGACTGTGACTGATATTCTTCGTGGTGCTTGAATCTGATTTAAAAAAAAATATTTACACCCTGCATATCTATATTTTGTTTTGTTTTTAGAAAACCTAGAAACTTTAGTCTACACTGACTTTCCTTTTCCTGAAGTTCAGAATATTGCTTTCTATCACATACAATATAGCACATGTTTATTTGACCTTATTCTGTCTAAATTATTCCCAGGTTGAAGTTTTCCCATGTGTATTAATGGCAAAAATAGTCTACTGTTCTCTCCTGTATTCCCTAGTCTCTAAAATGAAACCTGTTGCCATTAAGTTGACCTGTGCACCCAGGTTACTCTTGTGAAGCCTCACTCTTTCCCAGTGGGTGTCATCCTGTGTCTTCTGTGTGAGCTCATCACTACATGCTAAGCTGTGTGGTACAAAATACAATTGAAATTCTGAACAGGGAGAGAGTATGGAGCAAATTAGGGGTGGTCGCAGATACATGGCAGAATCTGAACTGGACCTTGAGATATGTAGTGTCTGTTTAGGCAGAGAAAAAAAAATAGTAGGGCTTAAAGATGAAGGGAAGGGAATGTGCAAGAATCCAGAGGTAGGAAACAGCACATGTGAAACACTGGGATAGAGCCACACTGCCTGAAGGGGAACTCATTTAACTTTAACTAAGAAATGGGATTAAGGAGTCTGATGGTACCAAAAAAAAAAAAAAAAAAGTTCTTGAACTATCTTGTACTGTCATTTTGAGCAGATTGGCAATCTCTCCAGGTCTAAGTTGCATTTGTAGTAATATTTAACTTCTATGGGTATGGTGAGAATAAACAAAAAAAACAAATACAAAATGCCTGGTACTTGAAAAGCTTAATACTTTTTTAGATAATATTATCAAAACACGATATAAAATAAAATATATTTTGTAGGTTTTTGATCAGTGAAGGCTGTAAAAGGATAATTTTAGTGTAATCCGCATGGCAGGCATCAGTGTCCACAGGTTAGAACTGGGAGGGGAACTGGGAAGCTAAAGGCCTGGACTGAGTCCATTGATAGATGGAGAATACAACCCTCAGCATCTCCCGGAATAATAAAGATGTGTGAGTCTAAGTACTGGAAAGTGGCCACAGTCAAAGAGCCTACTATGTAAATGAACAAATGGTAGTTCCCCAGAAAGGAAGGGATCCGAAAAGGAAAACCTTGGTAGAGGGAGGGAGGGAAGAAGGTAAGTTAAGTCCTATTTTGGAACTGGTTTGTAGATGCCCTCTGGTACTCAGAAGTTGCTTGCAAAGAGAAGAGGATGAACACTTATTACTGTTATAGCTGCTAAGTGGACATTCACTGTGAATTAAGTTGACACTACTCTTTAAATAGGCTACTTCTATTTTTAATGTCTCTTGAATTTATGACAGAAGAGAAATTAATGAACCCACAACATTTTTACATATGTGCAAACCCTTTACTCATGTAGTCGAACCTAATTCTGTTGACATGTGACTTTTCTCACTGGCTTTCAGGTTAACTTGTCAGAAAACACACACTGAACTTGGTAAGTCAAACATTGAAGATACAGTGCTGAATAAGACAAATGTGGATCCTGCTCTCCTGGAGCTTACAATTTAGCAAACAAAGACCAGCACTACAAAATATTCTAACAGAAATTGTGAATATAAAATAATCACCAGTCATAAAACTCTGAAATATTCCATTATGAATTGGAATATGATTTGTGAAACTTCAAAAAAGACTACACTGAAAATATTCCATGTTATGAGTTCTTTTTGTATTTAATTATTTTACATTTTTGAGTGTTGTGTGTATGTGTTTGTGTGTGCTTCAAAAATGCAACTAAATATGATGGAACCATCAAAGAAAGGAAGCATCAGGGTGTCCTTACAATAGAGATATTAATGGCGTGTGCATTTATTTTAGATACTTCTTTTGTGCTTCAATTCTTAAATTCTTCAGTTAATATGAAAATTCTCATTTGATATACTATTAATTTATGGACTAACTTCTCAGCTTTTTCAAATAAAATTAGAATATGAATCACCAAATATATGTGTGTATATGTATGTACATAAACATATATACATATATATCTCCTCCTATATATTAGATGTTTTAGACATTAGGAACTATTTTCCTTAAGGTTGGCTTTCTTTCCAGAAGTAACATTCTGAATTCTGTCTTTAAATGGCTGACAACCAATTAAAATATGTTCCAGTACTAGCTGCAAATTCACTGAAGCCATGGGAAATTGTATGTACAAAGATATTAAGTGAAACACTCAATACTTATATTTTCAATTACATCTTTATTTGATTTAATTCATTTTAACATCAGTAACAGTGGACATATGAACATCTGAATAAGAGTAGGTGTAGATCATGTCGATGACAGTAGCTTCAATTTTATCATTCTTGCAATATTGAAACAAACTCCAGTGAACTTGGTTTGGAGCCTGGTTCAGTAGAGATTGTTTCAACACTGAAGGAATGAAAATCAGAATCTTTGTTGTTAGATGAGCCATAGCAATCTCAGTCTGCTTCTGGGCTGGTCCATGTTTGAGCCATGAAGATGGAATGTTCCCAATGGTAGCTGAATGTCTTTATGAGTTCCTAAAATAACATAAAAATTGTGGCATTCTATTTATGGATACATAGATGAATAGATAAATAAAGATATAGATGGATAGATATATAACTGGATGGATATATGGATAAACAGATGAATAGATGGATGGTTAGATGAAGGGATATATAAACAAATGGGTAGCTAGAGAGTTAGACGGACAGATAAATGGATGGATAGGTAGATGATGGATAGATGGATGGGTAGATGAATAGGTAAATGATGAATAGATGTCTAGATGGATGGGTAGATGGATATGTAGATGATGAATAGCTGGATAGATAGATGAATTGATATTGATAGATAAATATATGAATGGATAGGTAGATGAATGGATAGATGTCTAGATGGATGGGTAGATGAATTGATAGATGGCTAGGTGAGTGGTAGATAGATGAATGGATATAAGGATAAATATATGGATGGATAGGTAGATGGATGAATAGATGATGGGTGGATAGATGATGAATAGATAAAAAGATATAGATGTACAATTATGTATGTGATTATAAAAAGTTGATTTTCTTTCCAGCATTATCTTTTCAATTACAACATATATGTGTATATATATCCATAAAGTAACAAATTTTATAAAATTCTTTAAAAATATTAAGTTTTTTCTGATAATTTCATACAAATAAAAAAAATTGTTAGTGAGGTAGTATTATTTTTAGCAGTAAAGACTCAAAATAATACCAGTTGTAATTAGAATGATCACGTAATGTGAGAGGTAAAAAAAATATTCTACTTATCACAACTGTTATGTATGTTATGTGTTTGAGAGATTTAAATAAATATATGATTCTATGCTTAAATGAAGATAGAAATGCTACCTTAAGGGTATATTGCTTGTTTGAGAAAAGACTGATGTTCGAATTTTGCCTATAAACAATCTCACATGATTCTTAAACAAACTAACAATCTCTCAACTGTTGTCCCCCATGGCAGTTTAGCTGCTGGATATTTGATGTCACTTCTAAAGGTTCAAGTAAATGACGCCACACATCCAACAGCCAAGCTGCCACCAGCAATCAGCAGCTGACCCTCATTGGTTCTTTTGGTGAATAAATACTTGAAGTGCCTCCCACACTCCAGATCCCATTCTGGGTTCCAGAAATTTAACAGTGAACAAGACTGGCAAGGTCCCTGCCCTCATGGAGCTTACATTCTAGGTTTCATCCACACTAACCACAGAGAGGAAAGTAATCTGCTTTGAAATGGCCACATATGGAGGCAATTCTTACTTATATATCAGACATCAGTCTGTTTTGGGTTAAAGGTAGTTTCTAGAAGTACACAGACAGAATAGTTATAGTGCTGTTTAGTCTGGAACTTTGAAAAATGTGCCATCTCTGCAATGGCTCAAGCCCAAGCTATCGTGCTGAAGGAAAAGTTTCCTATTGATGGACATGGGCAGAACTGCACTAAAAAGCACATGTGGTAATAAATTTTTTTAATGTTTAAGGAGATGGAAATGTTAAGTACGCTGATTTGACCATTAAAAACTGTAAACATATATTGAATTATCATGTGACCTCATACATTTATACAATGCAAATAATATTTAGTAATAAAAAGAACTTGAATCAAGGATCCACAAATTGATGTAAAAAAACAGTAGATCTATGTCATCATCCTAAATATTTGTAATGTACATGTTATAATTATTTGGAGTTTTCAGTTAAACTTTTCAAAATAACAAAGGAGGAAATACAGTGTTGTAAAATATACAATGTTGTACCTGGTTCTTCCAGGTAGGATCAGATGCCTAGTTGGTGTCCTATGTACTTTCTAGGGAAATGCAACAAGAACTAAGTGCTCCCACCTAGTTTTTCTATGTCCTCATCATTGTTGCTATCCGTCCACATCGATAACATTTTTTTTGAGCACTCACAATCTATCAACTCCTATCCAAACCCTGTTACATTACCTCAGAGAAGGAAGAGAAAGTGCATGGATTTGGTTAATGGGGAAGACATCACCAAAGGGAAGGTGATGGCCCAGAACCATACTTTACAAGACCATGTGGAAAACAGCTGGTAGAATTTAATAAATATACTGGCAGTGGTTTTGCATAACAGTGTATTATGTAAAAAGTTACTAGGTGAATTAAGACCACTGCCATTTTTAAGTTACCAATGTGGAACAAAATGAATCTTTGGAACAAAAATATTTTATCTGTATGCTATTTTTTGAGATGCAGTTTATGAACTTATTTTTTATTGGTTCTTTTTAAACATGCCAAAAGATTTAATTTTGGTATAATTATAAAAGCACAGAATATGATTTGTTCTGATTCAGTCCCCAGTACTTCCCCTTCTCCTCCCTGCCTTTAAATGTCTCACTCCCTTCCTTCTATTCTACTGATCTTCATGCTATTCACTTAGTTGTTTTTTAAAATTCGAGTCTTGGCAGAATTTTGTTTTATTAAAATATTCTCCAGATGACATATATAATCCAAATACAGCAAAGAGAGCACAAAGTACTGTGCTCACTTATGTTGCTGTTCAAGAAATGCCTCCAAACCATAAGATATTTCTATCTATAACTCATATAAATATATGCATTTTTTTCATTATTTAAGTTGGAAGATAAGTAAAAATTATGTTTTAGTTTTTTTAAAAAAAATTTTATTTTTTAGTTGTAATTAAACACAATACCTTTATTTTATTTATTTTTATGTGGTGCTGAGGATCAAACCCAGGGCCTCCCATGTTCTAGGCTAGTGCTCTACAGCTGAGTCACAACCCCAGCCCAGTGTTTTAGTTTTTTAATACACTCAAATAATCTATAGTTTAATGTATTTTGTTTAATATTTAGTGATTTCTTTAGTTTTTCTTCTACCATGTTCAATATAATTATACACTTTATGGTACAAATTATTTAGAAATATTCACATATATGCTATGACATAGGATTTCATTTGAGATATTAAAAATAACCATAGATTTATGAATAATATATACCATTATTCTGCATCTATACAATAGCTCATAGGGCTTGGACATTTATCAACAAGATAAACTATTCTATTAGTTTACAATATTCTTTTGTATTTTTCTTAGATTTCCAATGGCATGAAGTAATGTACACTTCTAGAAACTGGATTACTTTAAGAAAATTATACTGTAATTTATCTAAAGAAATATTTAATAGGTTAAAATAATTGGACAGTCTGATATAATAAACTATGCCCATTATCCAAAAAAGCATAAAAGGGTTGCATTAACAATCATCCCTGTAAACCATTCATTTGAAGTATACTGTTACAAAATAAAAATTCTCTTACAAATTAAATTAACATTTTTGGAACACTAGTAATATTTTTTTTCTTAAATAATGTAAAGAGAAGCAGTTTAGGTGGACTTATAAGCCTGCAATCTCACACTGATGAATAATGGAAATCCTGGAACCCTGGACAAGTTTAGCTTGCGTCAGTATCATAGTGTAAGATCCTAAGTGACCTCTACTGCCAGTTCATTGACACATGTTATTCTGATGTGGTGAAAGAGTAAGGATTGAGACAACTCCAGATTGATTTACATGGAATTCACCCTTCTCCTTCTCATGTGCTATTGAAACTGATGTGATTGTGGGTTAACAATGTTGTTAACCCACTAGACATTGATAGTGTTTTCTAAAACAATTATACTTCTAATAAGCTGCATTTTTTTAGGAAAAAACAATATAAAATGACACAAATTAAACATGTTTTAAAAGGCTAGAGAAAGTTATGGATTGACAGTGGTATGTAAAGACTTGGAGATTCTTAGTTTTTGATGAGATATACATTTGAAGTGAATAACCAGACTAATGGAGATCAGATGTTTTGAAAGTACTGTACAGCCATGAAACTATGACTCAAATACACATGTCAAACAGGAAAAACATTTTATACGAGAACGTCATCAACCTTCATGCTTATTTCCAAGATAATACAGAGGTGTTTCAAATGAACATGAAATTTTGTAAATAGACAAAACTCAAATTTCTGGGAAAACAATGGGACTAATCTAAATTAGTGAAAGTTCAGGAAGAAGATTTGTTAATGAAATATTTTTAAATGATAGTTTAGAAGAATGCCTATCCTTGCACATGCCAATTCGATCACACACAAACATTCTTCCCTATTTGGCATTCTTGATGTCTTAGAATAATTCTGTTTTACTTACATTCAGAAGAACGAACAGTGCCAGGCACCGGAATGTCATTGGCAACTTCATTTTGGGGTTTTGAAGATCCCTCCTTGTCCTATAAAAATATAAAAGTAACAAAGGTTTAAATCAATATAGCCTCCATAACAACTTATATTTTCCTTTTCTGTCTTCTTGACTCGAAGAGGATCGATATCCCAAGACACCCTAAATAAAATACACATAAGTAGGAACAACGTTCTTCTGACACAGTTGCAACTGTATGTCCCATTGTCTCTCCTGTCAAACAGATCATTGGCCTTGAGGCGCTGTTAAAAAGTTCTGGAGCAAGTTTTGCATATCAGGACTGAAATAAAGGAATTCTAAGAAATCAGAGCAATTCAGGTTGATTTTGACAGTGCGTGCCATTAATAGAACTGCTGAAAATTGCTATGCAAGCATCCACAAAGAACTCACCTCACTGGACATAAGCAAATAAAATCTGTGGTTTGTGAAGGATTCATGGTTATGCCCTGTAGATAACGTAAAGTCAACTCTAAAAGTAGTTTTATTTAGAGTCTTGATTATTTTTTTCCCATAAATACTTCTTCAAGCTTCAAGTTGCTAGTAAGAATGTATTTCTTCCACCTAGCAAAGTTGGACTATGTCACCAATTGCTCGCCATTCCCGCTCAAGAGAACCACAGTCAGAAAAGGCTACTGTGTCACAAATATCAGTTTCTCAGAGCTCAGCAGATAATGGTACACAAGGAAAGATAATAAAGGGGTGAAAATTTAAATATGTATTGCTTTTCATCAGTGAGATTTGGGTGAAAACTGGATTTCAACCAGGAGAGAGTGATTATGATTTCTCTTAAGTGGCATGATTGCCTCTTACACTTTATTCATTGTATGATAGATTTTACCCACTCTTGGTGTCTACAATGTGGGCCTGATGTACTTGCTTCTGAAAGAGTAAATTCTATTCGATTTGCATACTGGCACAATAATAAATGGAGAACGTAAAGTATAATTTTGAAATGTCATCTTATATCCTTATCCTTATTCATTGTTTCTGATTTAATTCAAGTCCATTCAGAGGATTAAAAGCACACACATACATGCATTGAGTGCTGAAGCACTACAAGCATACAAATGTGGGTGAGCTGGATGAGCTATGGCACTATTATAAGAATCTGAACATCTGGGGCAGGGCAGGGAGTAGGTATAAATGACATGGAGTGTGGTAAAATAACCAAAATGCTGCCTTGATACAAAGCTCATTAAAATTATGAAAATACAGGGACTTAGAAGAGAGCCAGATAATTCTTGATTGGGAAGACCAGGGCAGGATTTATATTTTAAGATAGAATTTGAAAATTAAATAGGTTTTCGAAAAGCAAAAACCTACTAGGCAGAGAAAGCAAATAAGATACAGAGATAGGAAAATTCATTATATCCAAAGAATAATAAATGTGATAGTTTAATTTAGCTAGAGCAGAGAGTCTCTCAGAAAGTGGATATAAGGCTAGATAAGTAGACTTTTGAGTGCTCAGGAAATTTATTATTTATTTATTATTGAAACCCACCATTTTGGCACATTGTATACATGCATATTCATCTTTATGTATACACATTATAACAACCTTATCTGATGCTTGTTACAGCTGAAATAATTTTTTTAATAAAATAGTTTTTACTGTTACTGATAATGATGATGGTTTGTGATCTAATAAATTAAATGAATCATAGAGCTCTGAGTTCTCACAAGTGTGTCCTCTCCATACCACCACACTAGCCACACTAGCACATCTGAACATGTTAATTTTCTTGCATTGCACAATTATCCATGAATTGTCTGGATGAGAAACTAGAGATCATCCTGATTCCACCCCTTCTTCATCCCCAATATATTGTCTCCAGTATTCTGACTATTTGCATTTAGGTATCTTTCAAATATATGTCCACCCCTCTTTCCCCTCTGGCTACAGCCTCCAGACCAGTTTCAGTGCTCCACATCTTGATCTTTCCAACTCAATTTATCTAATAAAATGAATATGATCTTATCCTCTGTCAATAATTGCTTATGCATTTTAGGCAAATGCACAAAACTTTTGGCTAGTAATATAATATATGGTCCTCCTAAAGTAACATGCACCAATATGATAATGGAGAGAAATAAAGAGGAAGAAATTAAAGTTGTCTCCTAGGTCTCTAACTTGACAAAAGGACAAATAACTTAGGAGAAAGAAGTAGTAGGAGGAGGAGCTTTTGATCTGTGTCCTCTCCCTTAATTGAGAATAATGCAACAGGAATGTTCTGGGTGAGACTTATTTCCTGGAGTGAAAGGCAGGATTTTGAAATGTATGCATATATAAGGACATGAGAAACCTTTCTTAATAAGGTTGCTTTTGGAATTCCTACTTATCACAGTCCCATGATTTAGCCTTGAAGAGAAGCAGGATGTGCAGGACCTTATTGGTGTCAGGTGGAAATGTTAATCACTGATAAACAAAGAAAAGTGTATGCATGCATTATAATATCACCCTGTACAAATATTATGTATTGATCAAAAAAATTTTTAAAGTGTATAGGGAGATGGAAATGTGGACTATGTTGATTAGATCATTACACATGAATTTTAAAAAGATTGCTTAAATTCAGGTTTCTTCTTGAAATGAAAGTCCCTCTCATTAAGTTCATATGTGGGACCTAAGCTTGGTGGGGAGATAACTTCTCAATGAATGTGAATATGGGGTCATTAGTCAGCTAATTGGCTTCTACTATCCATACCATCTGTTTGATATCAATCAATATTTTGTAATGTAGAAGTTGCTCTGTTTGACTCAACGATATCATTAAAATGAAGAGCATTGGAGGCCATTGGAGACTCCTCACTTTTAGGGTGAATGGAACTGCACAGCCATCTTACTGCAGAAAAGGGGAGCCCCATGGTTTCAAAGCCCAATACACTAGTTTGACAATTGTACCAGGACCAACCAAGGTGAATAAAGACAGTATGAAAATAGATCTGAGGATGAACATTTGGAAATGATTGGGGTGGGGGGGGGGTTAAGCAAGACACAAGATCCTTTCTTTCTGATTATTAATTGATGAGGTCTATCATTTTAAAGATTCTTGCATTATTTTCAACTGTAACAAGCATTGAGCTTGCCCTACAATTGTCCTGATTAAATAGTGCCTTGTAGATATGCCTCTGAAAGATGTGCTTCATTGAGGATTCCTGATAAAGGGACCAAGAAAATAAAGGTATATCTGTGAAGAAAGAGATGGTTTTATCAATTTCAGAGAAAAAAAGGCAATGAAAAGTAGCACTAGAATGAAGATAAGATATATAAGGGAAAGAAGGAGTAAAAGGAATGAGGAAAGGCTTAAAGAGAGTGACAGCCATGAAAAATGCAGGATAAATGCTGGAGACTTGTGGCTTAACTAAAGAGATGATTACAAAATAGAATAAAAAAGTGGATGGGTTGCAGGTAGAATCTAGAGAAAGGTGAATGTTGGATTTCAAGTAGGCAGGATTCAGGGTGATACTGGTTATTTACATTGACCTTGAGGAGAATTGTTTTGATTGGCGGCTTAGAGAGTTTAAACTAGAACGCAAGTAGGATGGACAGCATCAAGCAAATAGCAGTTAGTGGAGAGAAAAATGTAGCTTGGAAATTGTGAACCTGAAATGAAAACAAGCAAGATAGATGACCCATGACCAGTCATCTGGTATACCTGGAAGATGCCTCGGAAAATAAAACAAGGTTTTACTTTGACTTGGGATCATTTGCTTACTCCCTTCTTGATGAATTACCTTAACCACAGCAAGGGCTTTGTTCACTTTTCTAAGCCCAGAATCAAGAAGACAGTCTGGAATGTAGTAAATGCTCAATAAATGCTGGTTGGTTGTTTTAAGGGATAAGTTAGGGACAGAATCCAAGACATGTCAATCGGAATCTGGAAAGATAGCCAGCCTTAGGCTTTTCCTAGAGAGCCCTAACTGTGCAGCCCAGAAATTCCAATTTCTGTTTCTGCTTTAATTATTGTTTTAGTTTTGAGAAAAGAGCTTCACTTCTATGCCAGTTTCCCATCTGTTGAATGACTATTACATGGCTTTGCCATCCTTGAACAAAAGAGCACACAACTGTGTATGAACCCTATTGATCCCTCTGGATCTGTCTCAATAGTCTAACTAGTAAAGGTCAGTGTTCCGAAGATAGTTTTGAATCATTCTTTTACCTAAGAAAAGCTTTTGTGGAGCATTTATATAAGCCAGATCAATGTGGAGACTAAAATCCCAAATGTGGAACCTAAGTTTAAACATAAAGATGAGTAGACCATCTTCAGAGGTGCAGTTGCTGGTGGGACAACAGATTCAGCATTGCCCTGCATTCACAAATGGACACTTGTGAATAATCCCCTCTCTAGAAAACTCTCTCTGGGTTGCAAAGGTGGGCTGATCTGGGGGAACCATTTTTATGGTGAATAAGCAGAATCTAAATCACTAATTCTTGGATAATTATTGAATCGAGTAATCATCCTTAAGGGTAGTAAATTTCCTTGAAAAGCAAAGTTACATGATTTTTACTTATTTACTTTTTATGGAGAATATGAAACATCAACGTCTGAAAATAATATGTCTATTCTCATTGGTCAGTATTTCCAAAAACATGTTTCATAGTAATTCCACGAGGAACAGTATAAAATAAGGTTTCCACACCCAAATAAGTTTAGGAAATTAAGTCTTGCCTACACTCCTTTTAGAGATTTATCCTAGATGTTAGTAGTTTAAATAAAGACATTATTTTTCCTACACTAAAACATTCATTTATTTGACTTTTCATTCCCCAAGCTTGATTGATCACGAAACACTATTTTTTTGTTTGTTTATTTGGGTGGTAACAGCTAATAACACATGTATACATACACTTAGGAAAACACTCTTATCTCGATGCAATTTCTAAACCGCCCCAGTCAATAAAGACTGCAAATCATGATAATGAACTCCTTTTAACTTAAAAAGTATTTCTTTCTTTTCCATGCGGTAAAAGAGGAATGTCTGAGGTCTTACATAGCCATATC